TAGATTCAATGACTTTTCAGACCCCCTAACGACTTTTTTTTAGAAAGAAAGGGACTTTTATCGACTTCTTCTGGAGTTTAGAGACTCTGACATGAAGCAGGCTTTCCTTACTGAGGAGTTAGCAACGCTGCTAAGGGTGCAGAGCCACACATGCGCTCAGAGCTCTGCATGGGAGACTGTAGCCGACAGAGCTGCAGCAGTTAGCAGGTTTCACCCTCAGAGACCACCAGGGGTTCATGTTGAGGCATTTTAAATTTTTTTTTTTTGTGCCATAGACACTGTCAGCACAATCTGCAGTTACACTAACAAAAATGCTGCAGAAAACAAAGAATTATGGAAAAATTACACATGGACTGACATAGAGGAGGATCTACACAAGTTTTTTACATCATGTTTTACATCATGCATCATTTACATCATGTTTTTTTGTAGTGGCATAAATAAAAAGTGACATTTGTGAGACTATACAGTGTTTTGTAAATAATTTTACAAAGAACGCCTGGGCCATTGCCTGCATTTTAATGTAAATAGAGGTAAATCACTATGTTCTTTGTTAAAAATTTGCATATGTTTTGAAGTTTACAATTTTTATTTGAAGTTTAAGTTTTAAAAACAGTTCATCACACATATTTGTGGTTTTCACAGTAAAAATGTTACTTTTTTCCACTCGGATTTTATGTTTTGTGTGTGAATTTGGGTCCATTGTGTAAATTCAGTATGTCAACATGATAAAATAACTGTAAATTCGCACAGGTGAGGTTGTGCTGAAAAAAATGATACCAGGCAAGGCACGTGATTGTCAAATTTTGTGTCAATATGACAAAGCGTATAGGCGTGAATCTCAACAATATGTATTTTCACCTTAGGGGACAAGAAAAAATGGACTTTTTTTCTCCTGCCATGGGGGGGCGCTCTTTTGGGGAGTAAAAATTCCTTCACAAATGTGTTGATGGCTGGACATTGCATCATCCTAGAAAACTTGGAGGCCAGTGAGGACAAAAATAAAAAGTTATAAGACTTTTAAATATGTGGATTTTAGGGTTATCTTTGGCACCCCCTAGAACCTAAACCGTGGGGTGCAGCGTCATGATTTGAATAACTTTTAATGGCCATGGGGTGTAGATTGGCCTGAGCAAATTTGGTGCCGGTGGAACGAAAGCCTTAGGAGGAGTTAGCCACATTCCAATGTGTGCGGATCGGCAAAAAATGCGGAATAACCCTTTAACCGTACATTTGACAGATACGCGCGCATTGACTTTTTCGTAGTTCTTATTGAGTTACATGTGTGTGTCAATTTTTGTGTCATTTTGACAAAGCGTATAGGCGTGACACTCAACAATGTGTATTTTCACCTTAGGGGACAAGAAAAAATGGACTTTTTTCTTCTGCCATGGGGGGGCGCTCTTTTGGGGAGTAAAAATTCCTTCACAAATGTGTTGATGGCTGGACATTGCATCATCCTAGAAAACTTGGAGGCCAGTGAGGACAAAAATAAAAAGTTATAAGACTTTTAAATATGTGGATTTTAGGGTTATCTTTGGCGCCCCCTAGAACCTAAACCTTGGGGTGCAGCGTCATGATTTTGATAACTTTTAATGGCCACGGGGTGTAGATTGGCCTGAGCAAATGTGGTGCCGGTGGAACGAAAGCCTCCGGAGGAGTTAGCGAAATTCCAATGTGTGCGGATCGGCAAAAAATGCGAAATAACCCTTTAACCGTAATTTTGACAGATACGGCCGCACTGACTTTTTTGTAATTCTTATTAAGATACATATGTGTGTCAATTTTTGTGTCAATATGACAAAGCGTACAGGCGTGACAGTCAATAGTGTGAATTTCCACCTTAGGGGGCGCTATGGAGCCATTTTGCATTTTATTGTTTGGGCGACTTCAGAATATCGAATTTTTCACCAGGCCCGGTCGTCCTGCCAAATTTCATGAGTTTTCGCCAGTGGGAAGTGGGCCATTTTCCAGTTCAAAGGGGAGGAAAAAGAAGAACTAGGACCCCGTTGGGGCACTGGCGGGCCCGAGCTGTGTCGCGTCCCCCCCCCAACGCGCTGCCTCCCCGTCCCATTTGTGTCCTCTGGCCATCGCCCTCTCTGGTAACGCCCATCACTGCAAAGACCCTTTTCCTTCATCGGCGTTTGCTGTTCTTCCTGCCAGTGCGTGTTGCTTTCACTTACACTTGCCACAGCCAGCCTCTTGAGTGCCTAGCCTATTGGATATCACTGTCACCTACTCAGGACAGTCATTACCTTTCTATTAATACTTTGTTTTTTAATTTCACATTAATTTCCATATTGTATAAACAACTGGAAAAAACTTGAGCCCCTGCCCCTGTATAATCATGTGCACATCTCTGTTCTAGCTCTAAGGTGAATCTTCACTGCTCATGTTCTCCTCAGAAGCACTCACCTCACTCCCCTCAGGTTACTGTACACATGCACCAACTGCCTGCTTCAGGTTTGGATGGAGCTTCATGGTTGTCTTTTGGAGAAATGACCAGTCAAGTTGTGTTTGAAATTTGATTTTTTTCAGGGGCAAAAGGAGCCTCTGCATTCTTGTCAAATATGTAAATAGCATGTTTTTGCAGGTGCTAAAAACCAGACTCTGAGTGTGTGTGTGTGTGTGTGTGTGTGTGTGTGTGTGTGTGTGTGTGTGTGTGTGTGTGTGTGTGTGTGTGTGTGTGTGTGTGTGTGCGTTCAAGTCACATGACTTATTTAACCGGATGTAGCTGCAAGACGGAGCCTCGTTGACTCCGTTTCAACTTATCTCAAAAGTGAGGACCTCAACCTATATACCAGTTTTTAAATTGTGTTGATAGGCCAAATAAAACCAGAGTTATGATAAATTATGTCCGCGATACTTGTTTTCTGCTTATTTTGATCACGTTCGGCACTCGATTTCGCTGTATGAGACAGGAAAACATAGCATGCAGACATTAGCGACAGGTCTTACAGGCGGAAAAGGCTTGCCAAAGGAAAAAAAAAACACACCACAACATCTCTCCTATTGGTGGAAAACTTCACCACAACAACCAATCCAAAATTATATGGTGACTGATTGACAAGGGGCGGGCGCTTACGTTCTTCCTGCAATATGAGAAGGGAGGGAGGGACTCTCAGCAGGGATGCAGTCTGGGACACGTAGTTGCAAACCTAGCGACTTTGTTGTTAGATTCAATGACTTTTCAGACCCCCTAACGACTTTTTTTTTAGAAAGAAAGTGACTTTTTATCGACTTCTTCTGGAGTTTAGAGACTCTGACATGAAGCAGGCTTTCCTTACTGAGGAGTTAGCAACGCTGCTAAGGGTGCAGAGCCACACATGCGCTCCGAGCTCTGCATGGGAGACTGAAGCTGACAGAGCTGCAGCAGTTAGCAGGTTTCACCCTCAGAGACCACCAGGGGTTCATGTTGAGGCATTTTCAGTTTTTTTTTTTTTTTTTGCCATAGACACTGTCAGCACAATCTGCAGTTACACTAACAAAAATGCTGCAAAAAACAAAGAATTATGGAAAAATTACACATGGACTAACATAGAGGAGGATCTACACAAGTTTTTTACATCATGTTTTACATCATGCATCATTTACATCATGTTTTTTTGTAGTGGCATAAATAAAAAGTGACATTTGTGAGACTATACAGTGTTTTGTAAATAATTTTACAAAGAACACCTGGGCCATTGCCTGCATTTTGATGTAAATAGAGGTAAATTACTATGTTCTTTGTTAAAAATTTGCATATGTTTTGAAGTTTACAATTTTTATTTGAAGTTTAAGTTTTAAAAACAGTTCATCACACATATTTGTGGTTTTCACAGTAAAAACGTTACTTTTTTCCACTCGGATTTTATGTTTTGTGTGTGAATTTGGGTCCAATGTGTAAATATAGTATGTCAAAATGATAAAATAACTGTAAATTGACACAGGTGAGGTTGTGCTGAAAAAAATGATACCAGGCAAGGCAAGGTAAAAATTTTGTAAGAGGAAATATAAAGGTAAAATCTAAAGTAGTCAAAAACGGCCAATAGTGACTCACAGACTCCACAGACAAGTCCCTTTGGCGCCACTCAGTGGGCAAAACTACTTTGTCTACTGTAATGTATATTTGGGTCATCTTTGGCGCCCCCTAAAACGTAAACCGTGGGGTGCAGCGTCATGATTTTTACTACTTTGAATGGCCATGGGGTGTAGATTGGCCTGAGCAAATTTGGTGTCAGTGGGACGAAAGCCTTAGGAGGAGTTAGCGAAATTCCAATGTGTGCGAATCGGCAAAAAATGCAAAATAGCCCTTTTACCGTACATTATACAGATACGCGCTCTTTGACTTTTTCGTAGATCTAATTGAGATACACATGATTGTCAATTTTTGTGTCATTTTGCCAAAGCGTACAGGCGTGACAGTCAACAATGTGTATTTTCACCTGAGGGGACAAGAAAAAATGGACTTTTTTCTCCTGCCATGGGGGGGCGCTCTTTTAGGGAGTAAAAATTCCTTCACAAATGTGTTGATGGCTGGACATTGCATCATCCTAGAAAACTTGGAGGCCAGTGAGGACAAAAATAAAAAGTTATAAGACTTTTAAAAATGTGGATTTTCGGGTTATATTTGGCGCCCCCTAGAACGTAAACCGTGAGGTGCAGCGTCATGATTTTTACAACTTTTAATGGCCATGGGGTGTAGATTGGCCTGAGCAAATTTGGTGCCGGTGGAATGAAAGCCTTCGGAGGAGTTAGCGAAATTCCAATGTGTGCGGATCGGCAAAAAATGCGAAATAGCTCTTTAACCGTACATTATACAGATACGCGCTCTTTGACTTTTTCGTAGATCTTATTGAGATACACGTGTGTGTCAAATTTTGTGTCAATATGACAAAGCGTTCAGGCGTGACACTCAACAATGTGTATTTTCATGTTAGGGGACAAGAAAAAATTGACTTTTTTCTCCTGCCATGGGGGGGGCGCTCTTTTGGGGCGTAAAAATTCCTTCACAAATGTGTTGATGGCTGGACATTGCATCATCCTAGAAAACTTGGAGGCCAGTGGGGACAACAATAAAAAGTTATAAGACTTTTAAATATGTGGATTTTACGGTTATCTTTGGCGCCCCCTAGAACCTAAACCGTGGGGTGCAGCGTCATGATTTGAATAACTTTTTATGGCCATGGGGTGTAGATTGGCCTGAGCAAATGTGGTGCCGGTGGAACGAAAGCCTTCGGAGGAGTTAGCGAAATTCCAATGTGTGCGGATCGGCAAAAAATGCGACATAACCCTTTAACTGTACATTTTACAGATACGTGGCCATTGACTTTTTCGAAGATCTTATTGAAATACACGTGTATGTCAAATTTTGTGTCATTTTGACAAAGCGTACAGGCGTGACACTCTACAATGTGTATTTTCACCTTAGGGGACAAGAAAAAATTGACTTTTTTCTCCTGCCATGGGGGGGCGCTCTTTTGGGGAGTAAAAATTCCTTCACAAATGTGTTGATGGCTGGACATTGCATCATCCTAGAAAAATTGGAGGCCAGTGAGGGCAAAAATAAAAAGTTATAAGACTTTTAAATATGTGGATTTTAGGGTTATCTTTGGCGCCCCCTAGAACCTAAACCGTGGGGTGCAGCGTCATGATTTGAATAACTTTTAATGGCCATGGGGTGTAGATTGGCCTGAGCAAATGTGGTGCCGGTGGAACGAAAGCCTTAGGAGGAGTTAGCGAAATTCCAATGTGTGCGGATCGGCAAAAAATGCGAAATAACCCTTTAACCGTACATTTGACAGATACGCCCGCACTGACTTTTTTGTAGATCTTATTGAGATACATATGTGTGTCAATTTTTGTGTCATTTTGACAAAGCGTAAAGGCGTGACAGTCAATAGTGTGAATTTTCACCTTAGGGGGCGCTATGGAGCCATTTTGCATTTTCTTGTTTGGGCGACTTCGGAATATCAAATTTTTCACCAGGCCCGGTCATCCTGCCAAATTTCATGAGTTTTCGCCAGTGGGAAGTGGGCCATTTTCCAGTTCAAAGGGGAGGAAAAAGAAGAAAGAAAGAAACAACTAGGGCCCCGGTGGGGCACTGTCGGGCCCGAGCCGCGTCGCGCCGCCCCTAGCGCGACCGCCTCCCCCTCCCGATCGCGTCACACTCAAGGTCCAAAGATGGTGTGCGCACTTGTCTGTGGTCATTTCCCATTATAATGAATGGGAGGCGCAGTTTCTACCAAAACACTCGCTGCAGACAAACTTCATGTCCTATTTGAAAAAAGTCTGGACCATGAGTGAGGGCACAAACACAGCTATGATATATCGAAATGGCAGGTTGCTCCTCCTTACGGTGTTGCCTGGAGAGCGATGCGATTGAGCCATTGAGCGATGGGCAGGGTTAACTTGACTTTTTCTCCTGCCTTGGGGGGGATGTGGATTCCTTTAAGAATGTGGATTTTTGGGTCATCTTTGGCGCCCCCTAGAACGTAAACCGTGGGGTGCAGCGTCATGATTTTTACAACTTTGAATGGCCATGGGGTGTAGATTGGCCTGAGCAAATTTGGTGTCAGTGGGACGAAAGCCTTAGGAGGAGTTAGCCACATTCCAATGTGTGCGAATCGGCAAAAAATGCAAAATAGCCCTTTAACCGTATATTTGACAGATACGCGCGCATTGACTTTTTTGTAGATCTTATTGAGATACATATGTGTGTCAATTTTTGTGTCAATATGATAAAGCGTACAGGCGTGACAGTCAATAGTGTGAATTTCCACCTTAGGGGACAAGAAAAAATGGACTTTTTTCTCCTGCCATGGGGGGGCGCTCTTTTGGGGAGTAAAAATTCCTTCACAAATGTGTTGATGGCTGGACATTGCATCATCCTAGAAAACTTGGAGGCCAGTGAGGACAAAAATAAAAAGTTATAAGACTTTTAAATATGTGGATTTTAGGGTTATCTTTGGCGCCCCCTAGAACCTAAACCGTGGGGTGCAGCGTCATGATTTGAATAACTTTTAATGGCCATGGGGTGTAGATTGGCCTGAGCAAATGTGGTGCCGGTGGAACGAAAGCCTTCGGAGGAGTTAGCGAAATTCCAATGTGTGCGGATCGGCAAAAAATGCGGAATAACCCTTTAACCGTACATTTGACAGATACGCGCGCATTGACTTTTTCGTAGATCTTATTGAGATACATGTGTGTGTCAATTTTTGTGTCATTTTGCCAAAGCGTACAGGTGTTACACTCAACAATGTGTATTTTCACCTTAGGGGACAAGAAAAAATGGACTTTTTTCTCCTGCCATGGGGGGGCGCTCTTTTGGGGAGTAAAAATTCCTTCACAAATGTGTTGATGGCTGGACATTGCATCATCCTAGAAAACTTGGAGGCCAGTGAGGGCAAAAATAAAAAGTTATAAGACTTTTAAATATGTGGATCTTAGGGTTATCTTTGGCGCCCCCTAGAACCTAAACCGTGGGGTGCAGCGTCATGATTTGAATAACTTTTAATGGCCATGGGGTGTAGATTGGCCTGAGCAAATGTGGTGCCGGTGGAACGAAAGCCTTCGGAGGAGTTAGCGAAATTCCAATGTGTGCGGATCGGCAAAAAATGCGAAATAACCCTTTAACCGTACATTTGACAGATACGCCCGCACTGACTTTTTTGTAGATCTTATTGAGATACATGTGTGTGTCAATTTTTGTGTCATTTTGACAAAGCGTACAGGCGTGACAGTCAATAGTGTGAATTTTCACCTTAGGGGGCGCTATGGAGCCATTTTGCATTTTCTTGTTTGGGCGACTTCGGAATATCAAATTTTTCACCAGGCCCGGTCGTCCTGCCAAATTTCATGAGTTTTCGCCAGTGGGAAGTGGGCCATTTTCCAGTTCAAAGGGGAGGAAAAATAATAACTAGGGCCCCGTTGGGGCACTGGCGGGCCCGAGCCGTGTCGCATCCCCCCCCCCCCCCCCCAACGTGCTGCCTTCCCGTCCCATTTGTGTCCTCTGGCCATCGCCCTCTCTGGTAACGCCCATCACTGCAAAGACCCTTTTCCTTCATCGGCGTTTGCTGTTCTTCCTGCCAGTGCGTGTTGCTTTCACTTACACTTGCCACAGCCAGCCTCGTGAGTGCCTAGCCTATTGGATATCACTGTCACCTACACAGGACAGTCATTACCTTTCTATTAATACTTTGTGTTTTAATTTCACATTAATTTCCATATTGTATAAACGACTGGAAAAAACTTGAGCCCCTGCCCCTGTATAATCATGTGCATGTCTCTGTTCTAGCTCCAAGGTGAATCTTCACTGCTCATGTTCTCCTCAGAAGCACTCACCTCACTCCCCTCAGGTTACTGTACACATGCACCAACTGCCTGCTTCAGGTTTGGATGGAGCTTCATGGTTGTCTTTTGGAGAAATGACCAGTCAAGTTGTGTTTGAAATTTGATTTTTTTCAGGGGCAAAAGGAGCCTCTGCATTCTTGTCAAATATGTAAATAGCATGTTTTTGCAGGTGCTAAAAACCAGACTCTGAGTGTGTGTGTGTGTCTGTGTGTGCGTTCAAGTCACATGACATATTTAACCGGATGTAGCTGCAAGACGGAGCCTCGTTGACTCTCCGTTTCAACTTATCTCAAAAGTGAGGACCTCAACCTATATACCAGTTTTTAAATTGTGTTGATAGGCCAAATAAAACCAGAGTTATGATAAATTATGTCCGCGATACTTTTTTTCTGCTTATTTTGATCACGTTCGGCGCTCGATCGCGCTGTATGAGACAGGAAAACATAGCATGCAGACATTAGCGACAGGTCTTACAGGCGGAAAAGGCTTGCCAAAAGAAAAAAAAACACACCACAACATCTCTCCTATTGGTGGAAAACTTCACCACAACAACCAATCCAAAATTATATGGTGACTGATTGACAAGGGGCGGGCGCTTACGTTCTTCCTGCAACATGAGAAGGGAGGGAGGGACTCTCAGCAGGGATGCAGTCTGGGACACGTAGTTGCAAACCTAGCGACTTTGTTGTTAGATTCAATGACTTTTCAGACCCCCTAACGACTTTTTTTTAGAAAGAAAGGGACTTTTATCGACTTCTTCTGGAGTTTAGAGACTCTGACATGAAGCAGGCTTTCCTTACTGAGGAGTTAGCAACGCTGCTAAGGGTGCAGAGCCACACATGCGCTCAGAGCTCTGCATGGGAGACTGAAGCTGACAGAGCTGCAGCAGTTAGCAGGTTTCACCCTCAGAGACCACCAGGGGTTCATGTTGAGGCATTTTAATTTTTTTTTTTTTTGTGCCATAGACACTGTCAGCACAATCTGCAGCTACACTAACAAAAATGCTGCAAAAAACAAAGAATTATGGAAAAATTACACATGGACTGACATAGAGGAGGATCTACACAAGTTTTTTACATCATGTTTTACATCATGCATCATTTACATCATGTTTTTTTGTAGTGGCATAAATAAAAAGTGACATTTGTGAGACTATACAGTGTTTTGTAAATAATTTTACAAAGAACGCCTGGGCCATTGCCTGCATTTTGATGTAAATAGAGGTAAATCACTATGTTCTTTGTTAAAAATTTGCATATGTTTTGAAGTTTACAATTTTTATTTGAAGTTTAAGTTTTAAAAACAGTTCATCACACATATTTGTGGTTTAATTTCACATTAATTTCCATATTGTATAAATGACTGGAAAAAACTTGAGCCCCTGCCCCTGTATAATCATGTGCACGTCCCTGTTCGAGCTCCAAGGTGAATCTTCACTGCTCATGTTCTCCTCAGAAATAGTCACCTCACTCCCCTCAGGTTACTGTACACATGCACCAACTATCTGCTTCAGGTTTGGATGGAGCTTCATGGTTGTCTTTTGGAGAAATGAACAGTCAAGTTGTGTTTGAAATTTGATTTTTTTCAGGGGCAAAAGGAAGCCTCTGCATTCTTGTCAAATATGTAAACAGCATGTTTTTGCAGGTGCTAAAAAACAGACTCTGAGTGTGTGTGTGTGTGTGTGTGTGTGTGTGTGTATGTGTGTGTGTGTGTGTGTGTATGTTGGCGTGTGTGTATATGTGTGTGTATCCTGCAGTACTCTGTACTCTTGCAGTGGCCAAAAAGACTTTTAAGAATGTGGATTTTTGGGTCATCTTTGGCGCCCCCTAGAACTGCAGTACTCTGTACTCCTGCAGTGGCCAAAATGACTTTTAAGAATGTGGATTTTTGGGTCATCTTTGGCGCCCCCTAGAACGTAAACCGTGGGGTGCAGCGTCATGATTTTTACAACTTTGAATGGGCATGGGGTGTAGATTGCCCTGAGCAAATTTGGTATCGGTGGGACGAAAGCCTTAGGAGGAGATAGCCACATTCCAATGTGTGCGAATCGGCAAAAAATGCAAAATAGCCCTTTAACCGTACATTATACAGATACGCGCTCTTTGACTTTTTCGTAGATCTAATTGAGATACACATGATTGTCAATTTTTGTGTCAATATGACATAGCGTTCAGGCGTGACACTCAACAATGTGTATTTTCATGTAAGGGGACAAGAAAAAATTGACTTTTTTCTCCTACCATGGGGGGGGGCGCTCTTTTGGGGAGTAAAAATTCCTTCACAAATGTGTTGATGGCTGGACATTGCATCATCCTAGAAAACTTGGAGGCCAGTGAGGACAAAAATAAAAAGTTATAAAACATTTAAGAATGTGGATTTTTGGGTTATTTTTGGCGCCCCCTAGAACCTAAACCATGGGGTGCAGCATCATGATTTGAATAACTTTTAATGGCCATGGGGTGTAGATTGGCCTGAGCAAATGTGGTGCCGGTGGAACGAAAGCCTTCGGAGGAGTTAGCGAAATTCCAATGTGTGCGTATCGGAAAAAAATGCGGAATAACCCTTTAACCGTACATTTGACAGATACGCGCGCATGGACTTTTTTGTAGATCTTATTGAGATACATGTGTGTGTCAATTTTTGTGTCATTTTGCCAAAGCGTACAGGCGTGACACTCTACAATGTGTATTTTCACCTTAGGGGACAAGAAAAAATGGACTTTTTTCTCCTGCCATGGGGGGGCGCTCTTTTGGCGAGTAAAAATTCCTTCACAGATGTGTTGATGGCTGGACATTGCATCATCCTAGAAAACTTGGAGGCCAGTGAGGACAAAAATAAAAAGTTATAAGACTTTTAAATATGTGGATTTTAGGGTTATTTTTGGCGCCCCCTAGAACCTAAACCGTGGGGTGCAGCGTCATGATTTGAATAACTTTTAATGGCCATGGGGTGTAGATTGGCCTGAGCAAATGTGGTGCCGGTGGAACGAAAGCCTTCGGAGGAGTTAGCGAAATTCCAATGTGTGCGGATCGGCAAAAAATGCGAAATAACCCTTTAACCGTACATTTGACAAATACGCCCGCACTGACTTTTTTGTAGATCTTATTGAGATACATATGTGTGTCAATTTTTGTGTCAATATGACAAAGCGTACAGCCGTCATGTGAATTTTCACCTTAGGGGGCGCTATGGAGCCATTTTGCATTTTATTGTTTGGGCGACTTCAGAATATCGAATTTTTCACCAGGCCCGGTCGTCCTGCCAAATTTCATGAGTTTTCGCCAGTGGGAAGTGGGCCATTTTCCAGTTCAAAGGGGAGGAAAAAGAAAAAAGAAACAAAGAAAAACCACTTGGGGAATAATAGGGCTCTCGCAGCTGCTTAGCAGCTACGCTCGGGCCCTAATAACAAAAGAAGGAAACTACAGGAACAAGAGGGCTCTCGCAGCTGCTTAGCAGCTACGCTCGGGCCCTAAAGACTAGGGCCCCGTTGGGGCACTGGCGGGCCCGAGCCGTGTCACGCCGCCCCCAGCGCGACCGCCTCCCCCACCCGATCGCGTCACACTCAAGGTCCAAAGATGGTGTGCGCACTTGTTTGTGGTCATTTACCATTATAATGAACGGGAGGCGCAGTTTCTACCAAAACGCTCGCTGCAGAAAAACTCCATGTCCTATTTGAAAAAAGTCTGGACCATGAGTGAGGGCACAAATACAGCTAAGATATATCCAAATGGCAAGTTGCTCCTCCTTTCGCTTTTGCCGAGAGAGCAGTGCGTTTGAGCCATTGAATGATGAACAGGAAAAACTTGACTTTATTCTCCTGCCATGGGGGGGGCGCTCTTTTAAAGAGAAAAAACTCCTTCACAAATGTGTTGATGGCTGGACATTGCATCATCCTAGAAAACATGGAGGCCAGTGAGGACAAAAATAAAAAGTTATAAGACTTTTAAATATGTGGATTTTAGGGTTATATTTGGCGCCCCCTAGAACCTAAACCGTGGGGTGCAGCGTCATGATTTGAATAACTTTTAATGGCCATGGGGTGTAGATTGGCCTGAGCAAATGTGGTGCCGGTGGAACGAAAGCCTTCGGAGGAATTAGCGAAATTCCAATGTGTGCGAATCTGCAAAAAATGCGAAATAACCCTTTAACCGTACATTTTACAGATACGTGCCCATTGACTTTTTCGAAGATCTTATTGAAATACACGTGTATGTAAAATTTTGTGTCAATACGACAAAACATACAGGCGTAGCACTCAACAATGTGTATTTTCACCTTAGTGGACAAGAAAAAATTGACTTTTTTCTCCTGCCATGGGGGGGCGCTCTTTTGCCGAGTAAAAATTCCTTCACAAATGTGTTGATGGCTGGACATTGCATCATCCTAGAAAACTTGGAGGCCAGTGAGGGCAAAAATAAAAAGTTATAAGACTTTTAAATATGTGGATCTTAGGGTTATCTTTGGCTCCCCCTAGAACCTAAACCGTGGGGTGCAGCGTCATGATTTGAATAACTTTTAATGGCCATGGGGTGTAGATTGGCCTAAGCAAATGTGGTGCCGGTGGAACGAAAGCCTTCGGAGGAGTTAGCGAAATTCCAATGTGTGCGGATCGGCAAAAAATGCGGAATAACCCTTTAACCGTACATTTGACAGATACGCGCGCGTTGACTTTTTCGTAGATCTTATTGAGATACATGTGTGTGTCAATTTTTGTGTCATTTTGCCAAAGCGTACAGGTGTTACACTCAACAATGTGTATTTTCACCTTAGGGGACAAGAAAAAATGGACTTTTTTCTCCTGCCATGGGGGGGCGCTCTTTTGGGGAGTAAAAATTCCTTCACAAATGTGTTGATGGCTGGACATTGCATCATCCTAGAAAACTTGGAGGCCAGTGAGGGCAAAAATAAAAAGTTATAAGACTTTTAAATATGTGGATCTTAGGGTTATCTTTGGCGCCCCCTAGAACCTAAACCGTGGGGTGCAGCGTCATGATTTGAATAACTTTTAATGGCCATGGGGTGTAGATTGGCCTGAGCAAATGTGGTGCCGGTGGAACGAAAGCCTTCGGAGGAGTTAGCGAAATTCCAATGTGTGCGGATCGGCAAAAAATGCGAAATAACCCTTTAACCGTAATTTTGACAGATACGGCCGCACTGACTTTTTTGTAGATCTTATTGAGATACATGTGTGTGTCAATTTTTGTGTCAATATGACAAAGCGTACAGCCGTCATGTGAATTTTAACCTTAGGGGGTGCTATGGAGCCATTTTGCATTTTATTGTTTGGGCGACTTCGGAATATCAAATTTTTCACCAGGCCCGGTCGTCCTGCCAAATTTCATGAGTTTTCGCCAGTGGGAAGTGGGCCATTTTCCAGTTCAAAGGGGAGGAAAAAGAAGAAAGAAAGAAAGCACTAGGGCCCCGGTGGGGCACTGGCGGGCCCGAGCCGTGTCGCGCCGCCCCCAGTGCGACCGCCTACCCCTCCCGATCGCGTCACACTCAAGGTCCAAAGATGGTGTGCGCACTTGTCTGTGGTCATTTACCATTATAATGAATGGGAGGCGCAGTTTCTACCAAAACGCTCGCTGCAGACAAACTCCATGTCCTATTTGAAAAAAGTCTGGAACACGAGTGAGGGCACAAACACAGCTAAGATATATCCAAATGGCAAGTTGCTCCTCCTTTCGGTTTTGCCGAGAGAGCGATGCGTTTAAGCCATTGAGCGATGGGCAGGAACAACTTGACTTTTTCTCTGGCCATGGGGGGGCGCTCTTTTGGGGAGTAAAAATTCCTTCACAATTGTGTTGATGGCTGAACATTGCATTATCCTAGAAAACTTGGAGGCCAGTGAGGACAAAAATAAAAAGTTATAAGACTTTTGAAAATGTGGATTTTTGGGTTATCTTTGGCGCCCCCTAGAACGTAAACCGTGGGGTGCAGCATCATGATTTTTACAACTTTTAATGGCCATGGGGTGTAGATTGGCCTGAGCAAATTTGGTGCCATTGGGATGAAAGCTTTAGGAGGAGTTAGCCACATTCCAATGTGTGCGAATCGGCAAAAAATGCGAAATAGCCCTTTAACCATACATTTTGCAGATACGCGCACATTGACTTTTTCGTAGATCTTATTGAGATACACTTGATTGTCAAATTTTGTGTCAATATGACAAAGCGTACAGGCGTGACACTCAACAATGTGTATTTTCGCCTTAGGGGACAAGAAAAAATGGACTTTTTTCTCCTGCCATGGGGGGGCGCTCTTTTGGCGAGTAAAAATTCCTTCACAAATGTGTTAATTGCTGGACATTGCATCATCCTAAAAAACTTGGAGGCCAGTATGGAAAAAAATAAAAAGTTTTAAGACTTTTAAGAATGTGGATTTTTGGGTTATATTTGGTGCCCCCTAGAACCCAAACCGTGGGGTGCAGCAAGATGATTTGTACAACTTTTAATGGCCATGGGGTGTAGATTGGCCTGAGCAAATTTGGTGCCGGTGGAAAGATAGCCTTCGGAGGAGTTACCGAAATTCCAATGTGTGCGGATCGGCAAAAAATGCAAAATAGCCCTTTAACCGTACATTTGACAGATACATGCCCTTTGACTTTTTCGTAGATCTTATTGAGATACACGTGATTGTCAAATTTTGTGTCAATATGACAAAGCATACAGGCGTGACACTCAACAATGTGTATTTTCACCTTAGGAGACAAGAAAAAATGGACCTTTTTCTCCTGCCATTGGGGGGCGCTCTTTTGGGGAGTAAAAATTCCTTCACAAATGTGTTGATGGCTGGACATTGCATCATCCTAGAAAACTTGGAGGCCAGTGAGGACAAAAATAAAAAGTTATAAGACTTTTAAATATGTGGATTTTAGGGTTATCTTTGGCGCCCCCTAGAACCTAAACCGTGGGGTGCAGCGTCATGATTTGTACAACTTTTAATGGCCATGGGGGGTAGATTGGCCTGCGCAAATGTGGTGCCGGTCGAACGAAAGCCTTCGGAGGAGTTAGCGAAATTCCAATGTGTGCAGATCTGCAAAAAATGCAAAATAACCCATTAACCGTACATTTGACAGACACGCCCGCACTGACTTTTTTGTAGATCTTATTGAGATACATGTGTGTGTCAATTTTTGTGTCAATATGACAAAGCGTACAGCCATCATGTTAATTTTCACCTTAGGGGGCGCTATGGAGCCATTTTGCATTTTATTGTTTGGGCGTCTTCAGAATATCGAATTTTTCACCAGGCCCGGTCATCCTGCCAAATTTCCTGAGTTTTCGCCAGTGGGAAGTGGGCCATTTTCCAGTTTAAAGCGGAGGAAAAATAATAACGAAAGAAGGAAACATGCAGGAACAAGAGGGCTCTCGCAGCTGCTTAGCAGCTACGCTCGGGCCCTAAAGAAGAATCCATCAGGAATAATAGGGCTCTCGCAGCTGCTTAGCAGCTACGCTCGGGCCCTAAGAAAGAACTAGGGCCCCGGTGGGGCACTGTCGGGCCCGAGCCGCGTCGCGCCGCCCCCAGTGCGACCGCCTCCCCGTCCCGATCGAGTCACACTCAAGAACCAAAGATGGTGTGCGCACTTGTCTGTGGTCATTTCCCATTATAATGAATGGGAGGCGCAGTTTCTACCAAAACACTCGCTGCAGACAAACTTCATGTCCTATTTGAAAAAAGTCTGGACCATGAGTGAGGGCACAAACACAGCTATGATAAATCGAAATGCCAGGTTGCTCCTCCTTACGGTGTTGCCTGGAGAGCGATGCGATTGAGCCATTGAGCGATGGGCAGGAAAAACTTGACTTTTTCTCCTGCCATGGGGGGGGGGATGTGGATTCTTTTAAGAATGTGGATTTTTGGGTCATCTTTGGCGCCCCCTAGAACGTAAACCGTGGGGTGCAGCGTCATGATTTTTACAACTTTGAATGGCCATGGGGTGTAGATTGGCCTGAGCAAATTTGGTGTCAGTGGGACGAAAGCCTTAGGAGGAGTTAGCCACATTCCAATGTGTGCGAATCGGCAAAAAATGCAAAATAGCCCTTTAACCGTACATTTGACAGATACGCGCGAATTGACTTTTTTGTAGATCTTATTGAGATACATATGTGTGTCAATTTTTGTGTCAATATGATAAAGCGTACAGGCGTGACAGTCAATAGTGTGAATTTCCACCTTAGGGGACAAGAAAAAATTGACTTTTTTCTCCTGCCATGGGGGGGCGCTCTTTTGGGGAGTAAAAATTCCTTCACAAATGTGTTGATGGCTGGACATTGCATCATCCTAGAAAACTTGGAGGCCAGTGAGGACAAAAATAAAAAGTTATAAGACTTTGAAATATGTGGATTTTAGGGTTATCTTTGGCGCCCCCTAGAACCTAAACCGTGGGATGCAGCGTCATGATTTGAATAACTTTTAATGGCCATGGGGTGTAGATTGGCCTGAGCAAATGTGGTGCCGGTGGAACGAAAGCCTTCGGAGTAGTTAGCGAAATTCCAATGTGTGCGGATCGGCAAAAAATGCGGAATAACCCTTTAACCGTACATTTGACAGATACGCGCGCATTGACTTTTTCGTAGATCTTATTGAGATACATGTTTGTGTCAATTTTTGTGTCATTTTGACAAAGCGTACAGGTGTTACACTCAACAATGTGTATTTTCACCTTAGGGGACAAGAAAAAATTGACTTTTTTCTCCTGCCATGGGGTGGCGCTCTTTTGGGGAGTAAAAATTCCTTCACAAATGTGTTGATGGCTGGACATTGCATCATCCTAGAAAACTTGGAGGCCAGTGAGGGCAAAAATAAAAAGTTATAAGACTTTTAAATATGTGGATCTTAGGGTTATCTTTGGCGCCCCCTAGAACCTAAAGCTTGGGGTGCAGCGTCATGATTTGAATAACTTTTAATGGCCATGGGGTGTAGATTGGCCTGAGCAAATGTGGTGCCGGTGGAACGAAAGCCTTCGGAGGAGTTAGCGAAATTCCAATGTGTGCGGATCGGCAAAAAATGCGAAATAACCCTTTAACCGTACATTTGACAGATACGCCCGCACTGACTTTTTTGTAGATCTTACTGAGATACATGTGTGTGTCAATTTTTGTGTCATTTTGACAAAGCGTACAGGCGTGACAGTCAATAGTGTGAATTTTCACCTTAGGGGGCGCTATGGAGCCATTTTGCATTTTCTTGTTTGGGCGACTTCGGAATATCAAATTTTTCACCAGGCCCGGTCGTCCTGCCAATTTTCATGAGTTTTCGCGGGTGGGAAGTGGGCCATTTTCCAGTTCAAAGGGGAGGAAAAATAACTAGGGCCCCGTTGGGGCACTGGCGGGCCCGAGCCGTGTCGTGCCGCCCCCAGCGCGACCGCCTACCCCTCCCGATCGCGTCACACTCAAGGTCCAAAGATGGTGTGCGCACTTGTCTGTGGTCATTTACCATTATAATGAATGGGAGGCGCAGTTTCTACCAAAACGCTCGCTGCAGACAAACTCCATGTCCTTTTTGAAAAAAGTCTGGACCATGAGTGAGGGCACAAACACAGCTAGTATATATCCAAATGGCAAGTTGCTCCTCCTTTCGGTTTTGCCGAGAGAGCGATGCGTTTGAGCCATTGAGCGATGGGCAGGAAAAACTTGACTTTTTCTCCTGCCATGGGGGGGGCGCTCTTTTGGCGAGTAAAAATTCCTTCACAAATGTGTTGATGGCTGGACATTGCATCATCCTAGAGAACTTGGAGGCCAGTGAGGACAAAAATAAAAAGTTATAAGACTTTTAAGACTGTGGATTTTTGGGTTATCTTTGGCGCCCCCTAGAACCTAAACCGTGGGGTGCAGCATCATGATTTGTACAACTTTTAATGGCCATGGGGTGTAGATTGGCCTCAGCAAATGTGGTGCCTTTGGAACGAAAGCCTTCGGAGGAGTTAGCGAAATTCCAATGTGTGCGGATCGGCAAAAAATGCGAAATAGCCCTTTCACCGTACATTTGACAGATACGCCCGCACTGACTTTTTTGTAGATCTTATTGAGATACATGTGTGTGTCAATTTTTGTGTCAATATGACAAAGCGTAAAGGCGTGACAGTCAATAGTGTGAATTTTCGCCTTAGGAGACAAGAAAAAATGGACTTTTTTCTCCTGCCATGGGGGGGCGCTCTTTTGGGGAGTAAAAATTCCTTCACAAATGTGTTGATGGCTGGACATTGCATCATCCTAGAAAACTTGGAGGCCAGTGAGGACAAAAATAAGAAGTTATACGACTTTTAAGAATGTGGATTTCTGGGTTATCTTTGGCGCCCCCTAGAACGTAAACCGTGGGATGCAGCGTCATGATTTGTACAACTTTTAATGGCCATGGGGTGTAGATTGGCCTGAGCAAATTTGGTGCCGGTGGAACGAAAGCCTTCGGAGGAGTTAGCGAAATTCCAATGTGTGCGGATCGGCAAAAAATGCGAAATAGCCCTTTAACCGTACATTTGACAGATACGCCCGCACTGACTTTTTTGTAGATCTTATTGAGATACACGTGTGTGTCAAATTTTGTGTCATTTTGACAAAGCGTACAGGCGTGACACTCAATCATGTGAATTTTTCACCTTAGGGGGCGCTATGGAGCCATTTTGCATTTGATTTTTGGGCGACTTCAGAATATCGAATTTTTCACCAGGCCCGGTCGTCCTGCCAAATTTCATGACTTTTCACCAGTGGGAAGTGGGCCATTTTCCAGTTCAAAGGGGCAGAAAAATAATAAGAAGAAGAAGAAGAAAGAAGAATCCATCAGGAATAATAGGGCTCTCGCAGCTGCTTAGCAGCTACGCTCGGGCCCTAACTAGGACCCAGTTGGGGCACTGGCGGGCCCGAGCCGTGTCCCCCCCCCCCCCCCCCCCCAACGTGCTGCCTTCCCGTCCCATTTGTGTCCTCTGGCCATCGCCCTCTCTGGTAACGCCCATCACTGCAAAGACCCTTTTCCTTCATCGGCGTTTGCTGTTCTTCCTGCCAGTGCGTGTTGCTTTCACTTACACTTGCCACAGCCAGCCTCGTGAGTGCCTAGCCTATTGGATATCACTGTCACCTACACAGGACAGTCATTACCTTTCTATTAATACTTTGTGTTTTAATTTCACATTAATTTCCATATTGTATAAACGACTGGAAAAAACTTGAGCCCCTGCCCCTGTATAATCATGTGCATGTCTCTGTTCTAGCTCCAAGGTGAATCTTCACTGCTCATGTTCTCCTCAGAAGCACTCACCTCACTCCCCTCAGGTTACTGTACACATGCACCAACTGCCTGCTTCAGGTTTGGATGGAGCTTCATGGTTGTCTTTTGGAGAAATGACCAGTCAAGTTGTGTTTGAAATTTGATTTTTTTCAGGGGCAAAAGGAGCCTCTGCATTCTTGTCAAATATGTAAATAGCATGTTTTTGCAGGTGCTAAAAACCAGACTCTGAGTGTGTGTGTGTGTGTGTGTGTGTGTGTGTGTGTGTGTGTGTGCGTGTGTGTGTGTCTGTGTGTGCGTTCAAGTCACATGACATATTTAACCGGATGTAGCTGCAAGACGGAGCCTCGTTGACTCTCCGTTTCAACTTATCTCAAAAGTGAGGACCTCAACCTATATACCAGTTTTTAAATTGTGTTGATAGGCCAAATAAAACCAGAGTTATGATAAATTATGTCCGCGATACTTTTTTTCTGCTTATTTTGATCACGTTCGGCGCTCGATCGCGCTGTATGAGACAGGAAAACATAGCCATAGACAAGGGGCGGGCGCTTACGTTCTTCCTGCAACATGAGAAGGGAGGGAGGGACTCTCAGCAGGGATGCAGTCTGGGACACGTAGTTGCAAACCTAGCGACTTTGTTGTTAGATTCAATGACTTTTCAGACCCCCTAACGACTTTTTTTTAGAAAGAAAGGGACTTTTATCGACTTCTTCTGGAGTTTAGAGACTCTGACATGAAGCAGGCTTTCCTTACTGAGGAGTTAGCAACGCTGCTAAGGGTGCAGAGCCACACATGCGCTCAGAGCTCTGCATGGGAGACTGAAGCTGACAGAGCTGCAGCAGTTAGCAGGTTTCACCCTCAGAGACCACCAGGGGTTCATGTTGAGGCATTTTAATTTTTTTTTTTTTTTGTGCCATAGACACTGTCAGCACAATCTGCAGTTACACTAACAAAAATGCTGCAAAAAACAAAGAATTATGGAAAAATTACACATGGACTGACATAGAGGAGGATCTACACAAGTTTTTTACATCATGTTTTACATCATGCATCATTTACATCATGTTTTTTTGTAGTGGCATAAATAAAAAGTGACATTTGTGAGACTATACAGTGTTTTGTAAATAATTTTACAAAGAACGCCTGGGCCATTGCCTGCATTTTGATGTAAATAGAGGTAAATCACTATGTTCTTTGTTAAAAATTTGCATATGTTTTGAAGTTTACAATTTTTATTTGAAGTTTAAGTTTTAAAAACAGTTCATCACACATATTTGTGGTTTTCACAGTAAAAATGTTACTTTTTTCCACTCGGATTTTATGTTTTGTGTGTGAATTTGGGTCCATTGTGTAAATTCAGTATGTCAACATGATAAAATAACTGTAAATTCGCACAGGTTAGGTTGTGCTGAAAAAAATGATACCAGGCAAGGCACGTGATTGTCAAATTTTGTGTCAATATGACAAAGCGTATAGGCGTGAATCTCAACAATATGTATTTTCACCTTAGGGGACAAGAAAAAATGGACTTTTTTCTCCTGCCATGGGGGGCGCTCTTTTGGGGAGTAAAAATTCCTTCACAAATGTGTTGATGGCTGGACATTGCATCATCCTAGAAAACTTGGAGGCCAGTGAGGACAAAAATAAAAAGTTATAAGACTTTTAAATATGTGGATTTTAGGGTTATCTTTGGCGCCCCCTAGAACCTAAACCGTGGGGTGCAGCGTCATGATTTGAATAACTTTTAATGGCCATGGGGTGTAGATTGTCCTGAGCAAATGTGGTGCCGGTGGAACGAAAGCCTTAGGAGGAGTTAGCCACATTCCAATGTGTGCGGATCGGCAAAAAATGCGGAATAACCCTTTAACCGTACATTTGACAGATACGCGCGCATTGACTTTTTCGTAGATCTTATTGAGTTACATGTGTGTGTCAATTTTTGTGTCATTTTGACAAAGCGTATAGGCGTGACACTCAACAATGTGTATTTTCACCTTAGGGGACAAGAAAAAATGGACTTTTTTCTCCTGCCATGGGGGGGCGCTCTTTTGGGGAGTAAAAATTCCTTCACAAATGTGTTGATGGCTGGACATTGCATCATCCTAGAAAACTTGGAGGCCAGTGAGGACAAAAATAAAAAGTTATAAGACTTTTAAATATGTGGATTTTAGTGTTATCTTTGGCGCCCCCTAGAACCTAAACCTTGGGGTGCAGCGTCATGATTTTTAATGGCCACGGGGTGTAGATTGGCCTGAGCAAATGTGGTGCCGGTGGAACGAAAGCCTTCGGAGGAGTTAGCGAAATTCCAATGTGTGCGGATCGGCAAAAAATGCGAAATAACCCTTTGACCGTACATTTGACAGATACGGCCGCACTGACTTTTTTGTAGATCTTATTGAGATACATATGTGTGTCAATTTTTGTGTCAATATGACAAAGCGTACAGGCGTGACAGTCAATAGTGTGAATTTCCACCTTAGGGGGCGCTATGGAGCCATTTTGCATTTTATTGTTTCGGCGACTTCAGAATATCGAATTTTTCACCAGGCCCGGTCGTCCTGCCAAATTTCATGAGTTTTCGCCAGTGGGAAGTGGGCCATTTTCCAGTTCAAAGGGGAGGAAAAAGAAGAAAGAAAGAAAGAAAGAAAGAAACAAAGAAAAACCACTTGGGGAATAATAGGGCCTACGCCCGGCTGCTCTGCAGCTGGCTCGGGCCCTAATAATAACACTAGGGCCCCGGTGGGGCACTGTCGGGCCCGAGCCGCGTTGCGCCGCCCCCAGCGCGACCGCCTCCCCCTCCCGATCGCGTCACACTCAAGGTCCAAAGATGGTGTGCGCACTTGTCTGTGGTCATTTCCCATTAAAATGAATGGGAGGCGCAGTTTCTACCAAAACACTCGCTGCAGACAAACTACATGTCCTATTTGAAAAAAGTCTGGACCATGAGTGAGGGCACAAACACAGCTAGGATATATCCAAATGGCAGATTGCTCCTCCTTACGGTGTTGCCGGGAGAGCGATGCGATTGAGCCATTGAGTGATGGGCAGGAAAAACTTGACTGTTTCTCCTGCCATGGGGGATGGGGGATGGGGGGGGGGATGTGGATTCTTTTAAGAATGTGGATTTTTGGGTCATCTTTGGCGCCCCCTAAAACGTAAACCGTGGGGTGCAGCGTCATGATTTTTACAACTTTGAATGGCCATGGAGTGTAGATTGGCCTGAGCAAATTTGGTGTCAGTGGGACGAAAGCCTTAGGAGGAGTTAGCGAAATTCCAATGTGTGCGAATCGGCAAAAAATGCAAAATAGCCCTTTTACCGTACATTATACAGATACGCGCTCTTTGACTTTTTCGTAGATCTAATTGAGATACACATGATTGTCAATTTTTGTGTCATTTTGCCAAAGCGTACAGGCGTGACAGTCAACAATGTGTATTTTCACCTTAGGGGACAAGAAAAAATGGACTTTTTTCTCCTGCCATGGGGGGGCGCTCTTTTGGGGAGTAAAAATTCCTTCACAAATGTGTTGATGGCTGGACATTGCATCATCCTAGAAAACTTGGAGGCCAGTGAGGACAAAAATAAAAAGTTATAAGACTTTTAAAAATGTGGATTTTTGGGTTATCTTTGGCGCCCCCTAGAACGTAAACCGTGGGGTGCAGCGTCATGATTTGAATAACTTTTAATGGCCATGGGGTGTAGATTGGCCTGAGCAAATGTGGTGCCGGTGGAACGAAAGCCTTCGGAGGAGTTAGCGAAATTCCAATGTGTGCGGATCGGCAAAAAATGCGAAATAACCCTTTAACCGTACATTAGACAGATACGCGCGCATGGACTTTTTTGTAGATCTTATTGAGATACATGTGTGTGTCAATTTTTGTGTCATTTTGACAAAGCGTACAGGCGTGACAGTCAATAGTGTGAATTTTCACCTTAGGGGACAAGAAAAAATGGACTTTTTTCTCCTGCCATGGGGGGGCGCTCTTTTGGGGAGTAAAAATTCCTTCACAAATGTGTTGATGGCTGGACATTGCATCATCCTAGAAAACTTGGAGGCCAGTGAGGACAAAAATAAAAAGTTATAAGACTTTTAAAAATGTGGATTTTTGGGTTATCTTTGGCGCCCCCTAGAACGTAAACCGTGGGGTGCAGCGTCATGATCTGAATAACTTTTAATGGCCATGGGGTGTAGATTGGCCTGAGCAAATGTGGTGCCGGTGGAACGAAAGCCTTCGGAGGAGTTAGCGAAATTCCAATGTGTGCGGATCGGCAAAAAATGCGAAATAACCCTTTAACCGTACATTTGACAGATACGCCCGCACTGACTTTTTTGTAGATCTTATTGAGATACATGTGTGTGTCAATTTTTGTGTCATTTTGACAAAGCGTACAGGCGTGACAGTCAATAGTGTGAATTTTCACCTTAGGGGGCGCTATGGAGCCATTTTGCATTTTCTTGTTTGGGCGACTTCGGAATATCAAATTTTTCACCAGGCCCGGTCGTCCTGCCAAATTTCATGAGTTTTCGCCAGTGGGAAGTGGGCCATTTTCCAGTTCAAAGGGGAGGAAAAAGAAAAACTAGGGCCCCGGTGGGGCACTGTCGGGCCCGAGCCGCGTCGCGCCGCCCCCAGCGCGACCGCCTCCCCCTCCCGATCGCGTCACACTCAAGGTCCAAAGATGGTGTGCGCACTTGTCTGTGGTCATTTCCCATTATAATGAATGGGAGGCGCAGTTTCTACCAAAACACTCGCTGCAGACAAACTTCATGTCCTATTTGAAAAAAGTCTGGACCATGAGTGAGGGCACAAACACAGCTGGGATATATATCCAAATGGCAGGTTGCTCCTCCTTACGGTTTTGCCTGGAGAGCGATGCGATTGAGCCATTGAGCGATGGGCAGGAAAAACTTGACTTTCTCTCGTGCCATGGGGGGGGAATGTGGATTCTTTTAAGAATGTGGATTTTTGGGTCATCTTTGGCGCCCCCTAGAACGTAAACCGTGGGGTGCAGCGTCATGATTTTTACAACTTTGAATGGCCATGGGGTGTAGATTGGCCTGAGCAAATTTGGTTTCAGTGGGACGAAAGCCTTAGGAGGAGTTAGCCACATTCCAATGTGTGCGAATCGGCAAAAAATGCAAAATAGCCCTCTAACCGTGCATTTGACAGATACGCGTGCATTGACTTTTTCGTAGATCTTATTGAGATACACGTGATTGTCAAATTTTGTGTCAATATGACAAAGCGTACAGGTGTCACACTCAACAATGTGAATTTTCACCTTATGGGACAAGAAAAAATTAACTTTTTTCTCCTGCCATGGGGGGCGCTCTTTTTGGGAGTAAAAATTCCTTCACAAATGTGTTGATGGCTGGACATTGCATCATCCTAGAAAACTTGGAGGCCAGTGAGGACAAAAATAAAAAGTTATAAGACTTTTAAATATGTGGATTTTAGGGTTGTCTTTGGCGCCCCCTAGAACCTAAACCGTGGGGTGCAGCGTCATGATTTGAATAACTTTTAATGGCCATGGGGTGTAGATTGGCCTGAGCAAATGTGGTGCCGGTGGAACGAAAGCCTTAGGAGGAGTTAGCCACATTCCAATGTGTGCGGATCGGCAAAAAATGCGGAATAACCCTTTAACCGTACATTTGACAGATACGCGCGCATTGACTTTTTTGTAGATCTTATTGAGTTACATGTGTGTGTCAATTTTTGTGTCATTTTGACAAAGCGTATAGGCGTGACACTCAACAATGTGTATTTTCACCTTAGGGGACAAGAAAAAATGGACTTTTTTCTCCTGCCATGGGGGGGCGCTCTTTTGGGGAGTAAAAATTCCTTCACAAATGTGTTGATGGCTGGACATTGCATCATCCTAGAAAACTTGGAGGCCAGTGAGGACAAAAATAAAAAGTTATAAGACTTTTAAATATGTGGATTTTAGTGTTATCTTTGGCGCCCCCTAGAACCTAAACCTTGGGGTGCAGCGTCATGATTTTGATAACTTTTAATGGCCACGGGGTGTAGATTGGCCTGAGCAAATGTGGTGCCGGTGGAACGAAAGCCTTCGGAGGAGTTAGCGAAATTCCAATGTGTGCGGATCGGCAAAAAATGCGAAATAACCCTTTAACCGTACATTTGACAGATACGCCCGCACTGACTTTTTTGTAGATCTTATTGAGATACATATGTGTGTCAATTTTTGTGTCAATATGACAAAGCGTACAGGCGTGACAGTCAATAGTGTGAATTTCCACCTTAGGGGGCGCTATGGAGCCATTTTGCATTTTATTGTTTGGGCGACTTCAGAATATCGAATTTTTCACCAGGCCCGGTCGTCCTGCCAAATTTCATGAGTTTTCGCCAGTGGGAAGTGGGCCATTTTCCAGTTCAAAGGGGAGGAAAAAGAAGAAAGAAAGAAAGAAAGAAACAAAGAAAAACCACTTGGGGAATAATAGGGCTCTCGCAGCTGCTTAGCAGCTACGCTCGGGCCCTAACTAGGGCCCCGTTGGGGCACTGGCAGGCCCGAGCCGTGTCACGCCGCCCCCAGCGCGACCGCCTCCCCCACCCGATCGCGTCACACTCAAGGTCCAAAGATGGTGTGCGCACTTGTTTGTGGTCATTTACCATTATAATGAACGGGAGGCGCAGTTTCTACCAAAGCGCTCGCTGCAGAAAAACTCCATGTCCTATTTGAAAAAAGTCTGGACCATGAGTGAGGGCACAAACACAGCTAAGATATATCCAAATGGCAAGTTGCTCCTCCTTTCGCTTTTGCCGAGAGAGCAGTGCGTTTGAGCCATTGAATGATGAACAGGAAAAACTTGACTTTATTCTCCTGCCATGGGGGGGCGCTCTTTTAACGAGAAAAAACTCCTTCACAAATGTGTTGATGGCTGGACATTGCATCATCCTAGAAAACATGGAGGCCAGTGAGGACAAAAATAAAAAGTTATAAGACTTTTAAATATGTGGATTTTAGGGTTATCTTTGGCGCCCCCTAGAACCTAAACCGTGGGGTGCAGCGTCATGATTTGAATAACTTTTAATGGCCATGGGGTGTAGATTGGCCTGAGCAAATGTGGTGCCGGTGGAACGAAAGCCTTCTGAGGAGTTAGCGAAATTCCAATGTGTGCGAATCTGCAAAAAATGCAAAATAACCCTTTAACCGTACATTTTACAGATACCTGGCCCTTGACTTTTTCGAAGATCTTATTGAAATACATGTGTATGTAAAATTTTGTGTCAATACGACAAAACATACAGGCGTAGCACTCAACAATGTGTATTTTCACCTTAGTGGACAAGAAAAAATGGACTTTTTTCTCCTGCCATGGGGGGCGCTCTTTTGGCGAGTAAAAATTCCTTCACAAATGTGTCGATGGCTGGACATTGCATCATCCTAGAAAACTTGGAGGCCAGTGGGGACAAAAATAAAAAGTTATAAGACTTTTAAATATGTGGATTTTAGGGTTATATTTGGCGCCCCCTAGAACCTAAACCGTGGGGTGCAGCGTCATGATTTGAATAACTTTTAATGGCCATGGGGTGTAGATTGGCCTGAGCAAATGTGGAGCCGGTGGAACGAAAGCCTTCGGAGGAGTTAGCGAAATTCCAATGTGTGCGGATCGGCAAAAAATGCAGAATAACCCTTTAACCGTACATTTAACAGATACGCCCGCATTGACTTTTTCGTAGATCTTATTGAGATACATGTGTGTGTCAATTTTTGTGTCATTTTGCCAAAGCGTACAGGTGTTACACTCAACAATGTGTATTTTCACCTTAGGGGACAAGAAAAAATTGACTTTTTTCTCCTGCCATGGGGGGGCGCTCTTTTGGGGAGTAAAAATTCCTTCACAAATGTGTTGATGGCTGGACATTGCATCATCCTAGAAAACTTGGAGGCCAGTGAGGGCAAAAATAAAAAGTTATAAGACTTTTAAATATGTGGATCTTAGGGTTATCTTTGGCGCCCCCTAGAACCTAAACCGTGGGGTGCAGCGTCATGATTTGAATAACTTTTAATGGCCATGGGGTGTAGATTGGCCTGAGCAAATGTGGTGCCGGTGGAACGAAAGCCTTCGGAGGAGTTAGCGAAATTCCAATGTGTGCGGATCGGCAAAAAATGCGAAATAACCCTTTAACCGTACATTTGACAGATACGCCCGCACTGACTTTTTTGTAGATCTTATTGAGATACATGTGTGTGTCAATTTTTGTGTCATTTTGACAAAGCGTACAGGCGTGACAGTCAATAGTGTGAATTTTCACCTTAGGGGGCGCTATGGAGCCATTTTGCATTTTCTTGTTTGGGCGACTTCGGAATATCAAATTTTTCACCAGGCCCGGTCGTCCTGCCAAATTTCATGAGTTTTCGCCAGTGGGAAGTGGGCCATTTTCCAGTTCAAAGGGGAGGAAAAATAATAACTAGGACCCCGTTGGGGCACTGGCGGGCCCGAGCCGTGTCGCGTCCCCCCCCCCAACGTGCTGCCTCCCCGTCCCATTTGTGTCCTCTGGCCATCGCCCTCTCTGGTAACGCCCATCACTGCAAAGACCCTTTTCCTTCATCGGCGTTTGCTGTTCTTCCTGCCAGTGCGTGTTGCTTTCACTTACACTTGCCACAGCCAGCCTCGTGAGTGCCTAGCCTATTGGATATCACTGTCACCTACACAGGACAGTCATTACCTTTCTATTAATACTTTGTGTTTTAATTTCACATTAATTTCCATATTGTATAAACGACTGGAAAAAATTTGAGCCCCTGCCCCTGTATAATCATGTGCATGTCTCTGTTCTAGCTCCAAGGTGAATCTTCACTGCTCATGTTCTCCTCAGAAGCACTCACCTCACTCCCCTCAGGTTACTGTACACATGCACCAACTGCCTGCTTCAGGTTTGGATGGAGCTTCATGGTTGTCTTTTGGAGAAATGACCAGTCAAGTTGTGTTTGAAATTTGATTTTTTTCAGGGGCAAAAGGAGCCTCTGCATTCTTGTCAAATATGTAAATAGCATGTTTTTGCAGGTGCTAAAAACCAGACTCTGAGTGTGTGTGTGTGTGTGTGTGTGTGTGTGTGTGTGTGTGTGTGCGTGTGTGTGTGTCTGTGTGTGCGTTCAAGTCACATGACATATTTAACCGGATGTAGCTGCAAGACGGAGCCTCGTTGACTCTCCGTTTCAACTTCTCTCAAAAGTGAGGACCTCAACCTATATACCAGTTTTTAAATTGTGTTGATAGGCCAAATAAAACCAGAGTTATGATAAATTATGTCCGCGATACTTTTTTTCTGCTTATTTTGATCATGTTCGGCGCTCGATCGCGCTGTATGAGACAGGAAAACATAGCATGCAGACATTAGCGACAGCTCTTACAGGCGGAAAAGGCTTGCCAAAAGAAAAAAAAAACACCACACCATCTCTCCTATTGGTGGAAAACTTCACCACAACAACCAATCCAAAATTATATGGTGACTGATTGACAAGGGGCGGGCGCTTACGTTCTTCCTGCAACATGAGAAGGGAGGGAGGGACTCTCAGCAGGGATGCAGTCTGGGACACGTAGTTGCAAACCTAGCGACTTTGTTGTTAGATTCAATGACTTTTCAGACCCCCTAACGACTTTTTTAGAAAGAAAGGGACTTTTATCGACTTCTTCTGGAGTCTAGAGACTCTGACATGAAGCAGGCTTTCCTTACTGAGGAGTTAGCAACGCTGCTAAGGGTGCAGAGCCACACATGCGCTCAGAGCTCTGCATGGAAGACTGAAGCTGACAGAGCTGCAGCAGTTAGCAGGTTTCACCCTCAGAGACCACCAGGGGTTCATGTTGAGGCATTTTAATTTTTTTTTTTTTGTGCCATAGACACTGTCAGCACAATCTGCAGTTACACTAACAAAAATGCTGCAAAAAACAAAGAATTATGGAAAAATTACACATGGACTGACATACAGGAGGATCTACACAAGTTTTTTACATCATGTTTTACATCATGCATCATTTACATCATGTTTTTTTGTAGTGGCATAAATAAAAAGTGACATTTGTGAGACTATACAGTGTTTTGTAAATAATTTTACAAAGAACGCCTGGGCCATTGCCTGCATTTTGATGTAAATAGAGGTAAATCACTATGTTCTTTGTTAAAAATTTGCATATGTTTTGAAGTTTACAATTTTTATTTGAAGTTTAAGTTTTAAAAACAGTTCATCACACATATTTGTGGTTTTCACAGTAAAAATGTTACTTTTTTCCACTCGGATTTTATGTTTTGTGTGTGAATTTGGGTCCATTGTGTAAATTCAGTATGTCAACATGATAAAATAACTGTAAATTCGCACAGGTGAGGTTGTGCTGAAAAAAATGATACCAGGCAAGGCACGTGATTGTCAAATTTTGTGTCAATATGACAAAGCGTATAGGCGTGAATCTCAACAATATGTATTTTCACCTTAGGGGACAAGAAAAAATGGACTTTTTTCTCCTGCCATGGGGGGGCGCTCTTTTGGGGAGTAAAAATTCCTTCACAAATGTGTTGATGGCTGGACATTGCATCATCCTAGAAAACTTGGAGGCCAGTGAGGACAAAAATAAAAAGTTATAAGACTTTTAAATATGTGGATTTTAGGGTTATCTTTGGCGCCCCCTAGAACCTAAACCGTGGGGTGCAGCGTCATGATTTTGATAACTTTTAATGGCCATGGGGTGTAGATTGGCCTGAGCAAATGTGGTGCCGGTGGAACGAAAGCCTTAGGAGGAGTTAGCCACATTCCAATGTGTGCGGATCGGCAAAAAATGCGGAATGACCCTTTAACCGTACATTTGACAGATACGCGCGCGTTGACTTTTTCGTAGATCTTATTGAGTTACATGTGTGTGTCAATTTTTGTGTCATTTTGACAAAGCGTATAGGCGTGACACTCAACAATGTGTATTTTCACCTTAGGGGACAAGAAAAAATGGACTTTTTTCTCCTGCCATGGGGGGGCGCTCTTTTGGGGAGTAAAAATTCCTTCACAAATGTGTTGATGGCTGGACATTGCATCATCCTAGAAAACTTGGAGGCCAGTGAGGACAAAAATAAAAAGTTATAAGACTTTTAAATATGTGGATTTTAGTGTTATCTTTGGCGCCCCCTAGAACCTAAACCTTGGGGTGCAGCGTCATGATTTTGATAACTTTTAATGGCCACGGGGTGTAGATTGGCCTGAGCAAATGTGGTGCCGGTGGAACGAAAGCCTTCGGAGGAGTTAGCGAAATTCCAATGTGTGCGGATCGGCAAAAAATGCGAAATAACCCTTTAACCGTAATTTTGACAGATACGGCCGCACTGACTTTTTTGTAACTTATTGAGATACATGTGTGTGTCAATTTTTGTGTCAATATGACAAAGCGTACAGGCGTGACAGTCAATAGTGTGAATTTTCACCTTAGGGGGCGCTATGGAGCCATTTTGCATTTTATTGTTTGGGCGACTTCAGAATATCAAATTTTTCACCAGGCCCGGTCGTCCTGCCAAATTTCATGAGTTTTCGCCAGTGGGAAGTGGGCCATTTTCCAGTTCAAAGGGGAGGAAAAAGAAAAAAGAAAGAAAGAAACAAAGAAAAACCACTTGGGGAATAATAGGGCTCTACGCCCGGCTGCTCTGCAGCTGGCTCGGGCCCTAATAATAATAATAAACTAGGGCCCCGGTGGGGCACTGTCGGGCCCGAGCCGCGTCGCGCCGCCCCTAGCGCGACCGCCTCCCCCTCCCGATCGCGTCACACTCAAGGTCCAAAGATGGTGTGCGCACTTGTCTGTGGTCATTTCCCATTATAATGAATGGGAGGCGCAGTTTCTACCAAAACACTCGCTGCAGACAAACTTCATGTCCTATTTGAAAAAAGTCTGGACCATGAGTGAGGGCACAAACACAGCTATGATATATCGAAATGGCAGGTTGCTCCTCCTTACGGTGTTGCCTGGAGAGCGATGCGATTGAGCCATTGAGCGATGGGCAGGGTTAACTTGACTTTTTCTCCTGCCTTGGGGGGGATGTGGATTCCTTTAAGAATGTGGATTTTTGGGTCATCTTTGGCGCCCCCTAGAACGTAAACCGTGGGGTGCAGCGTCATGATTTTTACAACTTTGAATGGCCATGGGGTGTAGATTGGCCTGAGCAAATTTGGTGTCAGTGGGACGAAAGCCTTAGGAGGAGTTAGCCACATTCCAATGTGTGCGAATCGGCAAAAAATGCAAAATAGCCCTTTAACCGTATATTTGACAGATACGCGCGCATTGACTTTTTTGTAGATCTTATTGAGATACATATGTGTGTCAATTTTTGTGTCAATATGATAAAGCGTACAGGCGTGACAGTCAATAGTGTGAATTTCCACCTTAGGGGACAAGAAAAAATGGACTTTTTTCTCCTGCCATGGGGGGGCGCTCTTTTGGGGAGTAAAAATTCCTTCACAAATGTGTTGATGGCTGGACATTGCATCATCCTAGAAAACTTGGAGGCCAGTGAGGACAAAAATAAAAAGTTATAAGACTTTTAAATATGTGGATTTTAGGGTTATCTTTGGCGCCCCCTAGAACCTAAACCGTGGGGTGCAGCGTCATGATTTGAATAACTTTTAATGGCCATGGGGTGTAGATTGGCCTGAGCAAATGTGGTGCCGGTGGAACGAAAGCCTTCGGAGGAGTTAGCGAAATTCCAATGTGTGCGGATCGGCAAAAAATGCGGAATAACCCTTTAACCGTACATTTGACAGATACGCGCGCATTGACTTTTTCGTAGATCTTATTGAGATACATGTGTGTGTCAATTTTTGTGTCATTTTGCCAAAGCGTACAGGTGTTACACTCAACAATGTGTATTTTCACCTTAGGGGACAAGAAAAAATGGACTTTTTTCTCCTGCCATGGGGGGGCGCTCTTTTGGGGAGTAAAAATTCCTTCACAAATGTGTTGATGGCTGGACATTGCATCATCCTAGAAAACTTGGAGGCCAGTGAGGGCAAAAATAAAAAGTTATAAGACTTTTAAATATGTGGATCTTAGGGTTATCTTTGGCGCCCCCTAGAACCTAAACCGTGGGGTGCAGCGTCATGATTTGAATAACTTTTAATGGCCATGGGGTGTAGATTGGCCTGAGCAAATGTGGTGCCGGTGGAACGAAAGCCTTCGGAGGAGTTAGCGAAATTCCAATGTGTGCGGATCGGCAAAAAATGCGAAATAACCCTTTAACCGTACATTTGACAGATACGCCCGCACTGACTTTTTTGTAGATCTTATTGAGATACATGTGTGTGTCAATTTTTGTGTCATTTTGACAAAGCGTACAGGCGTGACAGTCAATAGTGTGAATTTTCACCTTAGGGGGCGCTATGGAGCCATTTTGCATTTTCTTGTTTGGGCGACTTCGGAATATCAAATTTTTCACCAGGCCCGGTCGTCCTGCCAAATTTCCTGAGTTTTCGCCAGTGGGAAGTGGGCCATTTTCCAGTTCAAAGGGGAGGAAAAATAATAACTAGGGCCCCGTTGGGGCACTGGCGGGCCCGAGCCGTGTCGCGTCCCCCCCCCCCCCCCAACGTGCTGCCTTCCCGTCCCATTTGTGTCCTCTGGCCATCGCCCTCTCTGGTAACGCCCATCACTGCAAAGACCCTTTTCCTTCATCGGCGTTTGCTGTTCTTCCTGCCAGTGCGTGTTGCTTTCACTTACACTTGCCACAGCCAGCCTCGTGAGTGCCTAGCCTATTGGATATCACTGTCACCTACACAGGACAGTCATTACCTTTCTATTAATACTTTGTGTTTTAATTTCACATTAATTTCCATATTGTATAAACGACTGGAAAAAACTTGAGCCCCTGCCCCTGTATAATCATGTGCATGTCTCTGTTCTAGCTCCAAGGTGAATCTTCACTGCTCATGTTCTCCTCAGAAGCACTCACCTCACTCCCCTCAGGTTACTGTACACATGCACCAACTGCCTGCTTCAGGTTTGGATGGAGCTTCATGGTTGTCTTTTGGAGAAATGACCAGTCAAGTTGTGTTTGAAATTTGATTTTTTTCAGGGGCAAAAGGAGCCTCTGCATTCTTGTCAAATATGTAAATAGCATGTTTTTGCAGGTGCTAAAAACCAGACTCTGAGTGTGTGTGTGTGTCTGTGTGTGCGTTCAAGTCACATGACATATTTAACCGGATGTAGCTGCAAGACGGAGCCTCGTTGACTCTCCGTTTCAACTTATCTCAAAAGTGAGGACCTCAACCTATATACCAGTTTTTAAATTGTGTTGATAGGCCAAATAAAACCAGAGTTATGATAAATTATGTCCGCGATACTTTTTTTCTGCTTATTTTGATCACGTTCGGCGCTCGATCGCGCTGTATGAGACAGGAAAACATAGCATGCAGACATTAGCGACAGGTCTTACAGGCGGAAAAGGCTTGCCAAAAGAAAAAAAAAACACACCACAACATCTCTCCTATTGGTGGAAAACTTCACCACAACAACCAATCCAAAATTATATGGTGACTGATTGACAAGGGGCGGGCGCTTACGTTCTTCCTGCAACATGAGAAGGGAGGGAG